AATATCGTTTATACCCTTAATGAATAATTAAAAATTCCAGTATATAATTAAACATAAGTAAAAGACGAATTTCAATGATTTTAGATTTTTCTTTATCTAAAAATGTTTTATATTGGGTTATAAAGTCTTTATTAACCTTGAAAAATAATTATATTTGTTAATATATAATAAAATATAAATTAAAAACGAATTTCATTTGATTTTAATATATAACTAATTCTAAATTAAAAACAAATTTCATGAATTTGATAAATATCCTTATCTAACTTTTTTGTATTTTGTTATAAGTCTATATTAACCTTGAAAAATAATTATATTTGTTAATATATAGTTAATTATAAAATCAAATCACAAAGAATTTATGTACAGATAATTTATATTGTGTTATCATTACAAAAGATAATTTTATTATACTTTCTTTTTATGTCTAAAATGATATTAATTTATCACTAAATATTTTAAATTTATGAGTATTTTCAAATTTAATTGTGTAATGAAAATTATTTCTATGATGATGAAAATTTTTTATATATAGAAAGAATTTGTTTATTTTATTATTAAATATTTTAAGTGTATGAACAATAATTTATTATAATTTATTTAAATTGATTATATATTTATTTATAGATATTAATAAAATTATTAAGCCTGCAAGTGTAGGCAAAACACCTAGTTCTAATCAGAATGTAATGTTTAGCGAAAAAAGAACGTAATATCTAACTTGCACTAGGTTAATAAATATTTCTTTCTAAATTAATATGATAAGTAAGGCCTTATAAGATAGTATCCTATGAGGCCAGGCCACCATTTTTTTTTGTAATCATAAGTCATAACATACTTTTTGTTTGTACCAAATTATGTTAATTTTTTAATCAATATGTAAAGTTGAGTTATAAAATAAAAATCATATTTAACTTACAATCTTATGTTATTAATGCTTTTTCTAATTAATTTATTCTTCATGATATTTAGTCTAAAATTATTACTCCCTTCATTTCTTTTTATAACTAGTTTTAGAGAAATATTTTTGTTTCAAAATATAAGTAGTTTTCAAATATCTAGATAACTTTTACATTTATTGAATATAGTAAGTCTAATCAAATAATACTAACCTATTTATGATTGGTTTAATTATATTTAATTTAATATATCAAATATTATTTTAAAAACAATAATAAATTATTTTTAGTATTTGTGCATTCAAGTAAAACTACTTATAAAAAGAAATGGAATAATAGTATTTTAGTAACAATAAATGCGTTTATAGTTAAATAACTCGAATGCCAATAAATTACTAGTTTTGTTTTACAGTTTATATATTTGGAAAAAATACATACTAAAAATAAACATTTTCCATTTTATTCGGTTAAAAAGCCCAAGTACCAACAAGTCCTCGCTAATTTCAAAAAGCGTAATTGGAATGTGATGTAGGTTTATCAACTAGAGATTAAGATTTATTAATATTGCCAATAATAATACTCCCTCCGTTTTATATTAAGTGTCGTTGTAGAAAATTTTTTGTGTTACAAAATAAGTGTCGTTTTCGGTTTTCAATGCAAGATTTATTAATTTTATTATGTAATTTGTTTTTCTATTGGATGGTTAGGTGTGTGGGTAATTGTGTTTTTATATAGGAAATATGTAAAATTAATTGTTTCCTTAATCCGTGTGAATAGCTGTAGAGTGACATTTATATTGAAACAGAAGGAGTATTTATTTTGGCAGAGAATAGAGTAGGAGTTCGCTAAACTTAAAGGCTCTCTATAAGTCTATAACTGCGAATGTCCCTTATTTTGTTATTTTGATGTCAGCTTATAAAAATAAAAGAAAAAGAAAGAGAGATAAAAGTTTAGAGAAGAAGAAACAATATACACAGTGTATGAGTCTCTGTACTTTCACAAGCTTCCAACCCCCGTCACTGTACTCTTCCATTCAACTAATGCTCTGATGATATAAATCTTTTACAATACTTTTATTTACACAATCATTATCATCAATATTTTTTTTACGATTCTTGTGACTGAGAGGTCCCTCTCTCAAGATTTGAGTACACTAACACGAAAGTGAAGCAACCCCAAACTCTTTCGATGGATTACGAGCGAATCGGAGAGACCCAGGTAAGCTTTTTCCCTGAAAGAAATGCTTCAGCTTCACTCTTTACTCTATTCTTGAAATAGGGTTTTGCGTGTGATTTGAGTAAACAAAAAGCAAGATTTGGCATTTTCTTCCACTTGGGCAGCTATTTTTCCATTTGCGTCGTTTTCGTGTTGATTTGCGACTTGATATATATAAAACGTCATTTTCAGAATCACACTTCATTCATCTGTCTTTTGATTTGATAAAAATCCCCGTTTCACTCATTTTCTTTAGCTTACCGCTTATATAAAGATGAGTTTCGTGATAGGTTACTAGCGGCGGCGGCTTATCTCCGGGGAAGTTAAGGACTATGCTTCTCGGTGTTGATAGAAAGAAGAAACAAGAACCTGAGTCAAACCAAATTCATGACCTTGGTACACCTTTTCCCCCTTTTTGTGTTAATCTAGGGTTTATGGTGGAGCCCTTTTAATCATTTTTCTTATTACCTTTTTTAAACGGCTTTGTCCTTATTTGCTTAATGGAATCTTATGTTGAAATGGTCTTTCCTTGTTACATTTACACTTCAACTAAACATCTTTTTTTTTTGGGTCATACTCATATCTTCAACTAAACATCTTTTCTTCTTCTTCTTCTTGCAGTTGCTAGTGGGTCAGATGATTTTAAAGATGTTGATGTTGTGACTGAGATTACTTCTGGGATGGTTGATTACGACAATGTGAATGAGGTTAAGAGCCTTTCTACTGCATCCCTCTTTGAGTTTCAAAAGACAGAAAAGGACAACAAGGTTACTCCAAGAATGACCGTTAGATCATTCTCTAAACCGGCTCCATCTAAATGGGACGATGCTCAGAAATGGATCGCTAGTCCAACATCTAACCGTCCCAAGACAGGACAGAAAAAAGGGCCTAGCTTTGGTCGGCAGTCTTCAATTAAAACTGTTGATGAAGAACCTGATACAAAGCGGGTAGATGTAAGCCAAGTGAAGAAGAAGGAGACAGGAGGACACAAGTTTGTTAGCTGGGAAGTGGACTCATATAACTCCGTTGTAGCATCAGCAACTGAAGGTGTGTGTCCTAACGAATCATCTTCTGTTGAGTTAAATTCAAATTTGTTTATGTTCTGTTTTAATCTTGCTTTTTGCAGTGAATCTAAGTCGACATGACTCGTTAATGGCAACTGCGTTTGCTCAACCGCCTTCAACAGCGAGATCTGTCTCAATGAGAGACATGGGAACTGAGATGACTCCAATAGCAAGCCAAGAACCTTCTAGAAATGGGACACCGATTAGGGCAACGACGCCAATCCGAAGTCCTGTAACTTCTGCACCTTCAAGTCCAGGGAGACAAGGATTGAGTAAGAAAGAATTGTCTGAGAAAGAGATTCAAATGAAAACTAGGAGAGAGATAATGGTGTTGGGAACACAGCTTGGGAAGTTAAACATTGCTGCTTGGGCCAGTAAAGAGGATGAAGACAAAGATGCTCAGACTTGTAAGAGTGTTTCTGAAGCTCGTGCATCCGCGTGGGAGGAAGCTGAAAAGGCTAAGCACATGGCTAGGTAACTTGAACTTACATTGTTTGATCTTAATGAGGTTTAACTTGAAATGACTTGTGTATAATCTCTAGGTTTAGACGCGAAGAGATGAAGATACAAGCATGGGAGAATCATCAAAAGGCTAAATCTGAAGCCGAGATGAAGAGAACAGAGGTAAGTAGCCTGAAAACATCAAGAAACATTGTCAAAGTTGATCTATATTCCTCTGTTTATTGATTGGTGGGATTCTTGACATTGTAGGTGGAAGTTGAGAGGATAAAGGGACGAGCGCAAGAGCGTTTGATGAAGAAACTAGCTGAGATTGAGAGGAAAGCAGAGGAGAAACGAGCAGCTGCTGAAGCAAAGAAGAATCGTCAAGCAGCTAAAACAGAGAAACAAGCTGAACAAATCAGAAGAACAGGGAAAGTACCTTCATGGTTATTCTCTTGTTCTAGCTTTTGTTCTTAGTAACATAAAGAATCCAACAAGAACCATTGATATCTTTCTGTACAATAAAATCTTTGTAAAAGTACCTTTTATGTCATCTATTCAGTTTTAGTTGCTTTCTAGCTTTGTATGTATACCTAAGGTCAAAATTTACTCAAATTTATCCGGTTGAATAATCTTATTTGGTTCGGCAAAACTAGATTTTGGTTTGGTTTATAGGTAAACCTCACTAAAAAAAAAATTATTAAATATAAAAGTATTATTTCACTTGAAATACAAACTTATTTTGTTCTAGATAATTTTGATTTTGTAAAAGATAAATTTAATTCGAAATACAAACTTATTTAAACTTGGTTTGATTGGTTCGGCGTGGTCTGGTTAGATGAAATACGATTTCGGTTAATCCAATTGGTTCAAACTCGGTTCTGATTAGGTCGGTTTAAACATCTTATCACCGTCTATTTCACAACATTCCAAATACGCTGTTTCCACTAGAAGTAAAGGAAACAATAATTCCGCTAACGCACCTCCAATAACATATCACCACGTGTCTAAACTTGAATACGAACCGAACTTCATCTATTAATATCCCATCGCAAAAAAAAAAAAAACAAACTTTTAGGCTTAGCTTTTTGAAAGGCACAAGTCGCAGTTTCTTCTCTCTGTGGCGGCTCCACGGGACTCACCGATCGGCGATTCTCGTCTTTTCTAGGGTTTCGATCTACAGAATCACACGAATTTTAGAAATAATGTCTGCGCCGGCGACCCAAACTCAACAACATGAGCAGAAGAAGAAGCAATCAGAGTCTCCTGGAGAAGAAGCCTTGAAGAAGAACACAGATTGCGTTTACTTTCTCGCCTCTCCTTCTACCTGCAAGAAGGTAATTCGATCTTATCCAGCTTCAATTAGGGTTTTGGATTCGAGATCTCAACGCCGTATCCTCTGTTTAGTTAAATTAGGGTTTTAGATTCGAGATCTGAAGATTCTTTCACTAGATTTCGTGCTTTTGGTCTCGATTGGTTACAAAATTTAGATCTGAGCTTCTTGATTCAAATCCGTACGATCTGGTTTAGTTTTGTGTTCTAAAGGTTTTTTCTCTTTAACAGGGAGCTGAGTGTGAGTATCGGCACAGTGAGTATGCGCGTGTGAACCCAAGGGATTGCTATTATTGGTTGAGTGGAAACTGCTTGAATCCCAAATGTGGCTTTCGCCATCCCGTGAGTATTGCTTTCTTTCTTTATTGTTCTTGAGCATGTTTTATCAAATGCTTATGTTTTGTTGTTTTTTTTTTGTAGGCTTTGGGAAATCTAGGAGGTCTGCCTGCTGGTTCTGTACCGACATCTCAAGCAGTTGTGAAACAGCCGTTTCCATGTGTTTTCTTTCAAAAGGGCATGTGTGCTAAAGGAGATATGTGTTCATACATGCACACTCCAATTGTTGCTGGTTTTAAGAAGCAGCATCCTTTAGAAGCTAAGCCTGCTGCTGATCCTCAGTTTTCTACTGAGGAGAAGAAGCTTGTTGCACCCAGAGTCACACCTGCTCTAAGGGATAGTAGAGGTGTGGAGGGGTATATTCCGAAGCATGTTGGGTATGAGCCTGTTGTGAAGAAAATGGACGTGGGTGTTCCTTCTTTGACTGATGAGAATAACAGTTTTCACAATGGGAAGGACGGAGATGACGGCGTGAGAGAGTCGTCTCCTGGGTTTGACGTTTTTGTGGATAACGAGGCAAGGGATGATGAGTATTATCATGTTGGCGATGGATATGGACGGAGAAGTCAGGAGGGACGGAACTCTTTGAATGAGTATGACTCTGAGTTTAGTGCAATTGCTGGTGGTGGTGATAGGGAAGGGTTCCGTGATCAGCGTTTTGATTCGTATGATAGGAGGGATGACAGGCACGCATGGGGCCACCGTCGAGGTTCTTCTGAGAGAGGAGATCGTTTGGAAAGGAGGGTTTACGGGGAAAATGAAGGATCAGAGAATATACTTGCATCGGATCTGAGATATCGCTTGGCTAAGCAGAGGAAAGGTAATGACTATGCTGCTCCAGAGTCTTCAATGGAAAGAGTATATAGAGACTCTCGTAGGAATACACCGAGGGAAAGCTCCATTAGCAGCAGCAGCCGTCTTCAGGGTAGAATTAAGCTTCGTGAGAGAAGCAGTGACGAGGAAGGTCACTTTGGTAGGAGGGTTGAGAGAGGAAGGGACAGAAGCGACTTATCTCAAAGTAGACTCCGAGATAGGATTAATGGTAGGTTAGAGCAAGACCATAGTGGTAATCAGGAAAGAGATCTCCGAGCTCCTTGGGTTAGAAGAAGAGAGACGGAAGAGGGCTTTTCAGTTTCTAAAGGCAGCAAAAAAGAGGAAATTAAGACAGAGACATCTCTGGGGAAGAGGAAAAGCTTGGAGGAGGATCATCATCCTTATAAACGATCAGGAGATTCCTTTGCAGCTCCATTGCCTTTCAGTGAGATTCTCAAGAGAAAAAGAGCTGCTGCATCTGGTGGTAGCCTTGAGAACAAGGACCAGACTCCTGAAGAAACGATATCAGAAGAAGCTGGAGATGATGAGACCAAACTCATAACAGAAGAGAAAACTGAGGCTGTGTTTGAACCCAATCCAGCCAACGAAGCTGGACTAGAAGGAACGATTATGGAGGAAGGAGAAGAAGTGAATGGGGAGGAGGAGCAAGTGTATGAAGAAGAGGAGCAAGCTTATGAAGGCGATGAGCTAAACGGAGAGTACTATTATGAAGAAGATGGAGAATACGCCTATGAAGAAGGCGAAGAAGTTGTTTACGCGGCTGAGGAAGGAGAAGAAGCAACAGAAGGAGGTGAAGCGGAGGGTGTAGAAGACATTGAGAAGAAGACTGCTGGGATGTTGTCATAGAAAAAGAAGCGTTTCAAGGAGGAAATGATGAATGATTTCATTGATGGTGTATGACAAAAAAGCTTTGCTCCTTCTGCTAAATGCAAATCTTGAGCGAATAGTGAGTTTTAAATCGCCATGTTTTTCCGTTATGATTTCTTAAATTGTAACAGTAGAAGAAAGAACAGAAACAATAGTACAAGTACAACCCACAAATTCTAAATTTTTGTTCTTTATATTAAAAGCTATTCATAGTTTCATATTAAAAAGCTTTTCATTGAGTACTAAGGGCAACATTATTGCAGGGACAAAATTTATGTCTCTTAGCATTTTTTATTATTACTTTTTGATTAAGAGATAATGTTAAGAAACAGAAGCAAATATACACATTATTGGTAGAAACTTTTATGTTGTCCCTTAGTTAAAAATTATTTGAAGTATGAAACAGCTAAAGAACAAGCACAAAACTTGAAACAGAAACAACACTCATAGCTTCCCAATACGAGCCACAGAGGTACGCACTCTGGACAGTGCTTCAAACCAGATTCATAAGCTTTCCTGGCCTGTTCCTGATGATTGAAACGTTCCTCACCTCTTCATGTTCTTCTTCAGGCCGTGCAGATTTTTTGACGCAGAGGCAAGAGCTTGATGATGTTATGCAGAGAACTCAGGATATTTGTTGCAGAATGACTGCGCATCTTGTTGTTTCTGTCGTTCAGGCTTGATGGAAACAAGATGACCGGTGTTGAAGATGACTAGAGCCTCGTAGAGATTTTTGTATCTGAAGCTTAATGTGAAACATGACGTTTGACCGCATCTGGTTGTTTCTTTCCTCATGACTCCCATGATCCTTGATGACTCTAGTGGTGTGTGTATACTATCTAGCCTGGAAACGGACATCTCTCGATGTATCA